AAAAAAAAAAAAAAAAAAAATTGATTGGCCTAACACAAGAAAAGGGAGTGTGCACAATTCACATACTCCTCGGGAGTGGCCTTGTTTATTTGTCGCAATCTTTCCTTGTAAATTTGGTGGGTTTTGGCGGAAGTCACCATTCTGTCACGTATCAAGGCATCTTTAAAATACTTCCATATCCAAGCTTCTAATTCACCGTAATGATGATGTGGCCTGAAATACAAGTTATTAGTCAGAAGTAAACAAATAAAGAGGCAAGAGAAAACTTCACATCCTATTAAAGGCAATCGACAATGTACCAGCAAACAGTTTCAAACGATTGGTTCACAACTAACACAAAAAGTAGAATACCAATCACGGGAAATGTTAGACCAACCAAAAATGTCGAAATGAAAGTTCATCATTTTCAAAAAAGATGAAACACAAACAGTATGGAGAGATTACGAAGAACAACAAACACTAATTATGTACTGGTTGTACAAAGAAAAAGTCGGACAACAAACACTCGCAGAAGCTCCCCCAAGTTTTACCATTTACATTGCTTTCCACAGTGTTGAGGAAGAAGAGTTGGTCCAGCAAACGACCAACGTAAACCAAATTCCTTGATCAAAGCCTCCTAATTATAGATTAAGAAAGAGATTACACAAGCTCTCTATATCTTGCGAGAGAGAAAAAACAAATAGATAAAGTCTACAATTAACCTCTTCTGCAGTCCTATTTGGTCGGAGGCGCCTGAATAAACAATTGAAAATGTGTTATTGATGCTATTTTATACACGCACACAAAAACACGCACACAAACACACACACACACGAAAAAGTTTTTTACCTAAGTAACCTTTTTATTCTTCCTTTAGCATCTTTGGAAGTGTCAGGGCCTAATTCTAATATGTTGCCCAGCACTACTTGACTTTCCATATCCAGGGAAAGCACTTGACATTCTGCGAGTTAAAAAAGTTAATTAGAACGACGAATTAAGTAAAAATCAATACAACTACTCTTGCCTCCCACTTTCTTCATACTAAATGGGGAATCTCGCTCGAATGAAGAAACAATTAAAACAATTCTATAAAAGGTTGAGTCTTTGAATCTACTAGCTTTGGATTGGACGTGTCGGTTGTAGGAATGTATATATGAAAATTGATCAACACAACAACCTCGAATTTGCGCTCATAATTTTTAGTTAAAAAACTGTCACCACAACAATATACAATTTCACAAGTGAAAAGAACAGGTAAAATGCTTAATAGAGCAAGTACATAGGACAAACAAAAAACATAAAAGTACGACAACAACAACAACAACGACGAGGACGACAAAAACAACAACAACCACAACGACGACAACAACAACAACAACCACGACGAGGACGACAACGACAACAACAAGCACAACGACGACGACAACAACAACAACCATGACGACGAGGACGACAACGACAACAACAAGCACGACGACAACAAGAAGCACGACGACGACGACAACAAGAAGCACGACGACGACGACAACAACAAGCACGACAATTAGATGAGAAAACCCAAAAAAATAATTGGATCCAATCATAGGAAAAGGGGGAAAATAGAGCAGAAAATAAACATCGATCAACCACAACTCTGCAACGCAATATGTAAGATTCGACTCCGTCGGGTATTTATAGCAATGAAAACAAACTTCAAGTCTGGGCCAAGTTGGTTGTAAACCAAGTTGGGCCAATATTCCAATTTCATAAATTTTGAAAAAAAACTATACTTATATGCTCGTCACCACCGATACCAATTAGTTGAATCTTATTGAATTAATAGTAAAAATTAATTAAAGTGAATCTGTATTTAATGAATTATTAATGTCCTGATATTAAAGAGTCTAATTTGTGATGTTTGACTTGGATAATAACTTAGATTATAACATTAGAATATTAGTAGGATTAAGATTCTAAGTCTCCTCCGATCTATGTATCTATTTATAATAAGAATAACTATATATTAAATGAATAGTTGTAAAAAAACTAGGGAGCATTTAATGCATACCGGCCCTTTTTGGAAACTTTTTAAATATATACATTAATTGCTTTCATATACATGTTTTTAGATAAGATTAAATCAGATATGATAAAAAATATAGTTTCTTTAAATAATTTTATTAATATCTGCAATAATTCATTGATATCCATTATAATAAATTACAAGATTGATTTTTCGTGATTCATGTTGATAATAATTTGGTCAAGATAAATAACAATATATTTTTTGTTCCACCCATATTATTATTTTTTTTTCACAAATATTTACTTTTTATCCAAAAATATTTATAAAAAATCGTAACATGTTAGGTAGAATTCTTCCAATTAATCGGGCGAAATCAAGTTGGTAAATTAATTTTTGCAAATATATATTTTTTTTCCTAAGCTTTATTTGTTATATATAAAAATTAAATTATTCTTCAAATTAATATAACTTACATTTAAAAGATAATGACCAAATACATTAAATAATTTACTAACGATCAAATTAAAATTGAAATATATTAATTGCTCTTTAGAATTTGTTTGACGACAGCCTAGAATCTAACTACACACATAGCAAAACTAAAACAACTCCCAAAAAGAGAAGAAACCAAAAGTTACCAACAGCAGAATACACCAAACACATTCCCAACAGGAGAGAAAGAGAAAAAACACAAGGGAAACCAAACGAAACACACAGACACTGGCTCAACCAAACAAAATCAACTAGAAAAGAACAAACCTAAAAACCACTACACAATCCTCCCCGCAGCAGACAAGCTACACCAAGCTACTCAAAGGCACGCCAATGGACCTCCATCCAAACGGACCGAGCCACAGCCCCGTAATCTGACCCAAAAACTATAGAAAAACGCCTAACTAAGCCCAACTCCAATGGCCCTAACCCAAATCCAGGCAGACGCCTCTGCTCTAGGCCGGAGACCCCCACCTCAACCATCACAAACGACACCAAACTAACCAGACCCCAAGCGCGATACCCTGATCTTGGTCTGGCCTCAGCTGCCAACCCCTCCATCCAACACCAGGAGAAGAGACACAACACGGTTTTTGTTTTATGGTTCCGCCGGGTTTCGGGTTACCCCGGCGGCTGGGGCATTGTAGGTCGTTGGATCTCAACGGTCATCAACATCCAAAGGCCCTTATTTTTTTTTTGTCGACCGTTGGGCCGACCTGGACCGGCCCGAACCGTGGCCCAGGCAGACCCAACGGATAGTTTGGTAGACAGTGTCAGAATTGCGCGGTTCGGTATCCGACCCGACCCGAACCGCAATATTTTTTTTTTAAAAAAGAGAGAGAGCGCCCGACGCTCAAACCCGACCCGACCCGAATTGCATGGGCAAAAAAGGGAGAATCGGAACCCAACCGCAAGGGCACGGTACCGGTTCGTTGAACAGCATTATTCCGGGACCGGTCCGGTGCCGGTCAGACCCGCGGCCACATCTACCTGCCCCTATAAAAAACCATCTCATGTCAATGTGTTTTCGTAACGTTACACATTTTCTATCGTTTCTTTGATCTATATTATTTACCTTGTTCGAGAGAAGGGCGGCACAAACCACCCTCTTTATCCTCTTCATGATCGGTCGAAAGAAATGATGGCTCAGTCGACTCCTCTGAATTTGTTCATTCCATTACTGATGTCGATGAGAGTGCGTTATCATTTCTCTGATACCAAATGATGTAGCAGAAGCATGAAATGGGAAGAACATACAGATAGAACGAAGACACAGTTTTCTTTTCTGATACAATTCTTCAAATCTGATAAAAACTGTCGTAACTGTTACTAAATATTACATCACAAGCCTAAACAATATTACTTAAAAGCCCCCACAGTAAGTTCACTAAAACATAGTAATAGAAAGCCCAAAATAATATAAATAAACATAACTAACTAATGATAAAAGAAAATATAACAATCACACTAAATGACAGAGTCGATCATATGTCGAGAAATGCTAACGCACTCTCATCGGCATCAATTACCCTACCCAACCAAAGCCTTCAAAATACTATATTTTTGCCTCCTATTATAAAAATAAAAAAAAAAAACTCATATCTAGAGACTTCATTGTGTCATAACCCTTTGACGAAAACGAAAAGACCTAATACATGACCCCGCAATGGAACAACTCAATTTTATTTGATCGAAGAACATTTAATATTTTATGTTCCTAAAATTAATTATATATTATTTATAGTTCACTCGGCTTTTTAGTTTTTACTCAACAAGATTTGCTTTTTACTCCACAAGATTTGTAGAGCATGCTCGGATACAAAACTTATCCAAAAAATCAATACATTTTTAACATAACTGTTTTTTTAACTAAACTTTAACTCAACTCTGCTATTATTATTATTATCAAGATAATTAAACAATATCAACCAATCATTCTTACACATCACATCAATCTTAATTCATTATTCATTCACTCACATAAATTTAATTAAACCATCAATTCAAATCATATCTCTTATACTTTTACATCAAATCAACTTTAAATATTTTATTTTAAATATTATTTTAACATACCAACTAACAACTAACCATACCACATTTTTCACAATTAACCAAACTAAACCAAAAAAAATCCAAAAATTTTTCAATTCTCGGTCAAATTTTATTTGCAGAAATGTTGTGAGCTTTTTGTATGTTCTTGTAATACATCATCCCCCATGAAAATAATATATATCTTGTACGAAAACTCATCATCTCCCATGCAAACGAAATGAGATTAAGACTAGTGGATTTAACCTGTGAAAAAATATATTAGTTCTTCATAAGTTCCTATATTGAGATATTGCAATACACACACATAAAAATTGGTCTTCCCAAGTCAAACCGTGGCTAACGCATGACATCTTTGGCGTTGCGTATCCACAGAACACAACTATCTAGATGTACTAGGCTCCAGCCTCCTTCCTTTGTACAAAAAATTAAAAAAAAAAAAAAAAATTGCTCTTCCCAAATAATTTTTTTTTTCGACTGCAATGTTCAATGCTTTTTCTTAATCCTCTCATAATTTCACCACTGAAAGATAAAAGGATAGAAAATTTGGCAAGTTATGAACATCAAGCTACTAGCAGCATATACCCTAATGAGGATATAAGTTACGATCAATTCACTATTAGAATCACGAACTAATGCCACAAATCAATCATATATACACAGTCGTAAAAAAAGCTAAAGCATTTAAAACTGTACATAGAAAACAAAAAGAACCTCCCAGAGACCAATTTCTGTCACCAACTAGCCTGAGCAAACTCTAACAAGACCCTCGAAAGGGTGGGATGATAATGACAGTAATGAAGGTAAAGTCGATTCAGAATATTGCATGCAATGTCATAAGCTATTTTGGCTCAAAGAGGGAGAAAATTAACCGAGTCTAAAAGCAACAAACAAGGAGCAGATAAAGATCAACCAATATGGATAGACAAGGAGCTCTTATTCCTTGTTACCGAATTTCCTTGCAATGATGGGCCGAACGTCATCAGTATCGACTAAGGTCTCCAAAAATGGCAGCAGTGAAATAAGTGCAGTGTCAGATGGATCATTAAACCAACTCTTGATCGGGATTCCATTATTCACTTGCAACCTGAAAACCTGAAATAATAAAAAAAAATAGCACTTTTTAACATAAAGGTTTATGGAAAAATTGCATTTTCAGTCTTGCTAGATTAACGACGTATCAATTTTAGTCCCAAAGTTCCAATATTTTGCTTTTTGGTCATGTGATTTAATATTTTTCCCAAATTCCAGATTTTCAATTAGCAATTTAAGTCATGTAATTTAAAATTTTAGCAAAGGACTAAAATTGCATCAAAATATTAAATCACAAAACCAAAAAGCGAGAACTTGGAATCTTGAGACTAAAATTGCTATGCCGTAAACCAAAAAGATTAAAAATGCATTTTTGCCTTCATAAAACATAGGGCAAGGTGATGAAAAACACAAACAGAGAGCAAAATCATATTTAAAAAAAAAAAAAAAAAGGTTACCTGGGGGGAATTATCAATTATGGCAACTTTCGCAAGGTCAACGCCTAATATGGTCAAGTCTTTCACATAAGTTCCCTCCGAGACAGTGCACGATTCACGATAAGCCCGTCTGGATATAACCTTTCCATCCGGGTCCAGAATGTCTAGAAGCTGTTTCGCGTAAATGCTCTGGCTAGCAGTGAACACGACGATTTCAAACATTTCAGCCACTCTTTGGAGGAAAGTCATTAGATGAGGCCTTTGTTTCACATACACTGTACATTCTCTCGTGTCGAGGGTAACGAGAAATGTGAAGTCCGCATCATCACAGTGTTCTAATGAAGAGTGAACGAGTGTTTCTGCAAAACGGGGAAATGAGAACGCCTCTATTGGACAAACTGATTTATTTGATATTCTTAAAAGATAAAACAACAGACATAAACACAACTACACAAGTACGTAAAAGATCCTGACAACAACACAAAGTTCACAATCTCTTGAATACAAGATTTTTTTTATTTTGTTTGGATCATTTGGTTTGGTATGGTTAGTTTTGAAAAAAGTGGTATTGTTAGTTGTTAGTGGGATTTTGAGTTTATATTAAAATAATAATTAAAGTTGATTTGATGTAATAGTAGGAGAGAGATGATGTGAAGTGATATTTAGTTAAAATTATTCGAGTGGATGAATAGTGAATTAAAGTTGATGTGATATGTAAGAATGATTGATTTATTAGTTAATTAAATTGATAATACTGAGGATAGTTGGGGCTGACTTAAAGTTGAGTTAGATTTGAGTAAAAAAAAAGTGATTGGTTAAAAATGATTGGATTTTTATGGAAAAATTTGTATCGAAGCAAGATAAATTAGCGAAAAATATATACACGTTATGAACAAATAAGGTGAATTAACAATTCAACAAGTTGGGAGGAGAAAGTACTGACCATCTAAGTCGAGCACTAAAGTTATCTGTTTGTTACTTTCCTTATTATTCGGCACTGGAACTGGAAATTCCATGTCTGGCTGGTCCGGAAGATTCCTGATATACATTTGTGGATCAAGGTACTCGTGATCTTGGTAAGGGAAGGAATTCATGTGAGAATCTTGGTCACATGATCTTAATTGATGAATTGCCATGTAAAAGCTGGAACTATTGGTCTCTGTTGAACATGTGACACCATTATCATCAATTCCAGTATTATCTAAAGTATCCTCCAAAAAGGGCAACATCATATACTCCTCGGTCAGATCACAAAGTAAACTGGACTCTTCGAATTGATAATCAGGAAGAAAAATCGAATCTGTTCTGCTGCTGCAATAATCAGAATTGCCTCCAATAGGCGATGTAGAGAAAATCATGTCAGATATGTAGAAGTCCGAGACATTGCTTGCTTGATATTTACAAGAATTTTTGCTGCTATCATCACTGTCTTCGCTATCCAGCTGTGGTACATAAAGACTATCACTTCCTACAATGCAAAAGCACGAGTTGGTACTTATTAGCTTCATGGGCTAAAATTAATTATACCCAATATAAAAATTTGTATCGGCATGTAAACCGATAAAAAATTATATAGCATACCATCATTATTGCAGATTGACTCCAGAATGGGAGAGAAAATTGTCTCAATGTTTGATGTACAGATTGGTAAGATAGGTTCCTGAAAGTACTTGAAATAAAGTCATTAAGCGCAATGAATATATCGTTAATATTATCTATGTAATTAAACAATATCAACCAATTATTTTTACACATCATATCAAGTTTACTTTACTATTCATTCATTCACATAATTTTAACTAACCATCACTTCATACCATCTCGTTCCTACTTTTACATCAAATCAATTTTAATTATTTTAATATAAACTCAAAATCCCACTAACAACTAACTATACAAACTTTTTCAAAATTAACCATAGTTAACTAAAAAAACTCATTTTGAGCGGATATATTTATATTCAAGCACGCCCTAAGGTCCCATATTATGAGTTGTTAATATGATGATGCTCACCATATTCTCATTAGCAGACTCAATCACCCTTAGTGGCTGCTCCTGAAGAAGATTTTCTTCAGTTGATAACTCATCGATGGCCTCACCCACTTCGAGGTCCTGAGCATATATTTGGCCATAAACTGGAGCTGCAGAATAAACGAAATATGTGAAGCATTTAAATTTTATTCTAAACCAGTAAATTGCATACTAGCATGAATTATATAGCACCAAGATTAGAATGGAAATAAATAAGATATTTGTTCGATGAAGAGACTATATTTCCACTAGATATGAGTAAAGTTTAAATTTTGATAACAAAACTTTAAAGCTCAATGCCATAGCTATCAAAATCATCTTGGCCATGCTCTAAAAGGTACCAAAAATTGACAAACAACAAAGCCTGCAACTATTTAAGTCACACGGATTCAGATTTACCATCCTGATTGCAGTGAGCACAGATTTTTTCCACATTCTGAGACACTATGGCATGAGAGAGAGGATTCTTGGATATCATACTCGACCTTCGGCATACTTGCAGACCCTTTTTTTCTTTGAAACAGCCTGTGGTTGACTTGGTTTTCATTTTAAATGATGGCATTTGATCTGTACTTTTGATGACGAAAACAATATTGCATCAAAAGCACCAGTGGGAAAAGAAATCCCACTGGAATATCAGATCAGCCACAGGAGACTGCAATTGATAACTTTTTTATAAGAATTATGCGTGTGATAACTTTTCAGTAAGAATTATTACGTGAACAAACAGAGAAAGATAAGAAGAAATCGTAACATGTAACTTAAACAAATTGGATGACTAAAATCACAGAGATCTAAGATTTCCTCATTTAATCAATGTTATGCAATTTTTTAAAGCTAAATCCCGAATCGTACAACACTGAGTCACAACAAAAGTTGTTGCACTTTTTAAAGAAGATAAATCCCTCACACAGCACATTATTTTCCCCTTTTTAGCAGATCAGACAGTACATTCATGAGAAAGCAAATTGGTATAAACAACCACATGAAAAGATAATCATAAAACTCGATAAACCACGAAAACGGGAGCAACAACAAGATAACTAAGAATTCTCTCAGCAGTAAATCTAAATTGGAGTAATATAAGCTTCGAGTAAAATCAATAAAATCACAACAACCAAAATAACCCAAATTTCCCAGATAAAGGTAAAAAATCAAAGAAAGCAACAAATCGACTCTGACAGATGGTACAATAAGCTGAACCCATAACCATGAAAACAAAACCCACTTGAAAAAAAATCGAATTTTTTCCACATAACCCCAAACAGGGCCAAAGTCAACTAAATTTCAGCCACTTCCTTTGCAACCACAAAGTTCCAAATCCGACTAAGTACACACAGGACAGAAACAAAAAGAATATATGAACAGACGACAAAATTCACAATTTCACATCACCCAGCTATGGCGCTACTCTGAATTACAAAACCCTAAAGCACAATCAAATCATTCCATATTAAATAGGTAAAATTCACCCAATTTGCAACATACATACAGCTGAATTACGATTACCCTCGAAAACTTGCGAAAAAATCATTAAACTTTTCGAGTCAAACAACGAACGACTATCACATAGATATCTGTCTCTACGAGTCTCTATGGACACACAAAAATCACTTCTGTTGTGGGTAGCATACCTGTGGAAATCCAAGCCCTCTCTCTCTCTCTCTCTCTCTCTCTAAAAAGACTCGCTTTCTCTCTCTAGACTTTCCGATCCCTGTGTGTGAAATTTATAAACAGGCTGTAAAGACTGCTCCTTTCCCGATCCTCTACAGCCCGATCTCTCCTTATACCGTGCAGCCGTCGACCGCAGGTTGTACCTCGCAAATCTATGTGCGATGTTACTAATTATTAGTTAGCGATGTACAACTCGAATAGCGTGGGTGTGCGGGAAGTCGGCCGCAGTGGATCGGGACCCGTGCTTAAAGCGAGTTTGTCTGCTGCTAACTAACGGCTGGGATTTAGAGCTGGGGAAAGTCCGGGGGAAGACCACTCGGTAGTCGACACGTGGGCTGTGGGACCTGCCGTCCTGACGTGAGGGCACGTGCCTCGTGTGAAAAAAATGGCTGCGCTGGGAGGGGCTTGTGGGGCGTGCGCGACACGCGCCTTGGGGCTGTTGTGTTTTTATTTTGGCCACTGAAACTCAAACTGTGCCTAAACATCAGTTGGATGGTCCAAAGACTCCAAACTCCAAGTTCCAAATCAATGTATTGTGGTCGATTTTATTGAAAATATAACATATGTGCAATAGGAAATAAAATAAGTTCGATTTTTGGTTTCATAAGTTCGATTTTCGGTTTAATGGGATTTTGCACAAACCGAACCCCACAAAATGAACCGAACCCCACAAAATAGAGAATTCGGGCAAAATCTTACAATTCGGTGTAGTTCAATTTGATAATGTATATTGTAGATTTTTTTTTTTTTTTAATTTGATTTTAGTTAATTTCTTGTGTGTTTTGAGGTGGTTGAATTTGAAAATTTATGAATTTCACTTTTTCGGTTCATACAATTTTGTTCCAACTAAGGGTGAGCAAAATCGAGCCGAAACTGAAACCGAGCAATGCGGTGCGGTTCGGTTCGATTTTTTTATGTAAAGAAAAAAACCAGTTCGATTTAGGTTCATTTTTTTTATATTGCTGTGCGGTTATTACTTTCCATAAGTTCGGTTTTCGGTTTTGTTCGGTTCGTTTTTTTCTAAATTGCGGTGCGTTTCGATTTTTTTCCACCGAATTGCACCGTTGCTCACCCTAGTCTCAACCAATATTTATGGGATTTACTACTTTTTTTTTTCATTTTTCCTAGTTTGAGCTTTCAACATATACTCTGTTAATGCAATATAACATTGTTGTTATCAGC